AAACCACCCAAGAAAATATTTGCAAAATTTTCCTACCCCCAAAATTCAGGAATCGAAAATTTCAAACCTAAAAATATCTTCCGAGTTTCCCCGTCACTTAAAATCTAGAGTAACCTCTCCCGCTCCTCCCCCCCCGCGTGCTTGATACTGTTGTATGCGTAAGCGCAGTGTTTAAGCTTTGCAATCTGAACCCAATGTTTTCTTTTTGTATATATTTCAGGCCACAGAGTGTTTTCATACGACGTCTCGGCGGCCATATTGGTGTCCCAAAACAATGAAACGGCGGCCATGTTGGTGTCTCAAACCAATCGTCTGGAAGTTGAACGCTTTTCTTATACAAACGCTTTCTTTTGTTCCAATAATTTTGTATAGATGCTGGCCACGTGAGTGAAAACACTATAGGGGACACCTATTCATGAATGAATTCATGGAGACAGATTTTTCCTATGCTATACATCTTTTAAAATGTAACTGAGTTTATCTCAGCTGTTTCAAAGGCTAGTTAGATACCATTTGACAGGGGCATTGAGGAATAAAGGAAGTTTAGGAGAGTTGCTTTCAATTAAAAGAACTTTAAACTTTAAAGTTTAAGTTAGCCGTCCATATTTTATACAGTCAGGAAATCTCGGAAATTTGTCGATGTTAGTCGTTGAACTTCGTGCACACGCCTATTTAAGTTATATGAATAAATAAAACGCCACCAATTTGAACATTCACGACAAACTTATGCTAAATGGAATACCTTCTTTCTACAGTTGCGTCATGCAGTCATTTAAAGAAAGCCTACTCTACAGCAACAAGTGGAAATTACGATATTGATCCAGATGGCGAGGGAGATCTGGAGCCATTCTCAGTGTACTGTGACATGGCAGACAATAATGGAGTTGGCGTTACAGTCATTAGTCACGACAGTGAGAGCAGAATTTTTGTGCATGGATTTGAAGATGCAGGCAGCTACTCACGTGTCATTCACTACACTGGGGCGAATCTGTCTCAACTGGCCAGTCTTACCACAGTCTCGTCTCATTGCGAGCAGTTCATCAAGTACGAGTGTTTAAATGCAGTGATGTACCGGTGGAGTATAGTAAATTAGTGGGTATCACGTGACTCTACTATGATGACTTACTGGGGCGGGGCAAATATCAGTCATAAATGCGCATGCGGGATGACCGACTCATGTGCAGTCTCCAATTATGGCTGTAACTGTGATGCGAATGACGGTGTACGGCGTGAAGACAGCGGTCTCCTGACTGACAAGACCAAACTTCCGGTTATACAGCTCAGGTTTGGAGATACTGGTGAAGGTAACGAGGAAGGCTACCACACTCTGGGAGAATTCAAGTGTTATGGCACAGCATAATCACTTTGGTGTCGCACAGACGAAAATTGTTGTTGATAACATGATTGATAAAAACTTAAAAACTTGAAGCGGTAATGCTAAAAAACCGATAAAAGACAGGAAATAGAGAGGAGAAGAGTGACGTCAGGTTACCATGGCGGCAGTATTTCTGAATTGCAACAAAAACAACGACGACGGCGACGGCTAGGAGAACAGCAAAAAATAACATCTTTATATTAACGAACAACAACTTTACACAAGCATCACGCTATTTTGTACATTCCTTTGCAATCGTTGCAGCACTACGACATGAAACTTTCTAATTTCAAAGCCCGCTTTATGGAGTAGGTGAACACACAGCACAAAAATTTTCGCTTTCATTTTTCTAAACTTTAATTACGATGGATAGGGTCCCAAAGAAAATCTCACCAAGATTTGCCAAAATAAATGAAATTGAATAAGGTCGGTGAAGTTAATTTGAAATAGTGTCAATAGACTTTTAAGTGACTTTATCAGTTTGTTATCATCCAAAATTTGGGTTCCATGGGAAGGTGACGTAACGACTTCTCCTCTCTATTGTAGTGTAGGGGCAAAAAGACCATTTTTGGCGGTGACGGTATTTGATTACAACTGCTTTTGAGCCTCCCCACAACGGCCACCTCGGGGGCAGAAGAAAGTGGCCGTTTTATAGGAGCTTAAACAAGAATCAATGTATGGACAATCCGCCAAAAAAGTAGCCGTTGTTATGGGGAGGTGGCTGTTGTGGAGAGGTGGCCGTTAGTGGAGGCTAGACTGTACAAGAATTCATTTCGTTTCTGCTTTTTCATCTAAATTAGCCAATCCCGCTGAGGTTTAACAGACAATTGCCCTAGTCTGCACAAGAAAGAAACCAACTGATAGATTCTAGTAGTTTTCATCGTGCAAGTGTCCCATTAACTTTACCACTGTAATTTGGACACGTTCAGTATACCTACTCTTAGCGAATGACTACTAAAATAAGTGTTTGACTGTAGAAGGATAGGACTGTATTATATAACTAAGATAGCCATTTAATTACTCATACCATATATCGACATATACTGATAAGCACTTGGTTTGACAGGGACATAATTATTCTTCTGTCCTTGTTCTCAGCCCCCAACGGACACAACGAATTGTCTCAACGAAAAAGCGAATTTCCCTTCAGCCTGATTGGCAAATTGACAGTGGCATTTTTTGACAGGTCAATCATAGCTTGTACTTAAATCCTGATACATATGCTGGGGCCCAAAACAACTGAGGATTCCAGCGCCGTTTCACAGCACCGACTTAACCAGAAGTTTAGTTCCGTCTGTGGCGTTGGCTACCCTATTTAAGACCGGACCTGATGTTTCCGAGTGATTATTATGTAGCAAAATTCTTACACAAATCTAGATCCTGGTTTCAATATGCAGAGAAACTTGCCCCTTTCAAACCTAAAAGTTTGAAAATTGGCACTTAGTTTCAGCCTAAGAGGGGTTAACAAGTACATCCTTTGGCCCCGCACATACCGATATGGTTTATCGGAGTGATACCCTTTTACGGGCCGAAAACAGGGGAACTGAGTTTTGTCTTTGTTTCGTCTGACTTTTCAAATCATAGGGCCCAGCAGGGGTCCATTGTATTCAAGGACAAAGGGATGTGCAGCCTTTTGCTTAAGTGACTGTATTGGCCATGTAAAGAATAGACAAAAGGAAGACAGGAACACAGCAGTGGAAGAATGTCGAGAAATCACGGCTGTGGCTTCATTTTCTTAAAATGTTTTTGAAGTTTAATATTAGGTTTTGCTCCCTAATCGTTATATGATTTAGAATATTTCAAGTCTTTATTACTTAAAACTATAACTTTTGGTCTTCCGTCTTAAGGAAAATATGTGGAAAGAATACATTGTTATATGTCGCCAGACAGGGTATGGTTTGGGTCACTTTCTCCTGAACATGATGTGAACATCTATAGGATTGCAAGGATGTTGCTAGATTGCTAATGCTCGATTGGAGCTGTTTAACTGTGAAAATGCAGTGGAACCTAATTCTACGGACACTCGCATATAACTGACAGCATCGTTTGTCTCGACGAAAAGCTCATATGTTTCTTTGAAATTAACCCGCCTAGATTGGACACGTGTTAATGAGGAAAACGAACACCTTTTTTCTGCCCCGAGGCACAAACTCTTCCTCGACCCCACTTTACGGACACCGGTTAACTACACGCTGTATATTTCCTTGACAGTCACAATCATGAACTAATTGTAGTCATTTTACCCTGTTCAAATAACTGGACAATAATGGGTTTTAACCATGGCATGTATGTCCCCGTCGTGTCCGTATTAGGGACCTTAATCAATTACGACGACGATGATGACGACGACGACGACAACAACGACAACGCAAAAAAAAACAAAAAAACAAAAAAACAATTGGGTGTATGAACAAAACAATAGCTCTGCATCACGCTTTTTAGTACATTTGTTGGACGTCCACTGCACGACCACGGCATGAAACCTCCCAATGCGACGTTTTATGTAGGACGTGGACATACGACGACAAATTTTCCTTTCTCTATTTGAACATGGATAAAGCCCTTAAGAATTCAGGTCCAGGAAAAGTCGGCTACATTTGACGAATTGAGCGGTTCCAAATAGACGCGATAAAGTTTAAAAGGACGCATATTTATTGTTTTAGTGATGTTTGCACTGCCGTCGTCGTCGTAGTTGCTTAAGGTCCCTATTATCCGGTTTCCACTGTATAGTTTAACCTGTGAGCTGACATCTTTGGGACCAGAACACATATCTGCGTAAGAGAGATGTCCTCCTAAAGCTACCGTTAAACGGGGAACAAAAAACGTGTTACTTGGCGGCAGCATTGCTGCGAAACGAGTTTAAAAGCTTTGTTGTGCGTTTTACTACCCGCGTTCAAACCTGTCTTGCAAAAAAATCAGGTTGTTGAAAGTTGCGTCAATATTGACTTCTGATTGGACAAAATCACGCGGGAGTCACTTCATACTCGAGATTTACGTCACATAGTTCCAAAAAGGTTTGCCTCAGTTAAAGCTCCTTTCCAGGGTTCTCAATCTTCGGAGGAAAATATAGAACCCTTGGAACGAGGTTGAAGTTATCTTTGGGCCTGGAAAACGCGCAATATGTACAGATTTTGTTGTAAAAGGTAGAACTGCTCTCTACGTTCTGCAACAACAACCTCCAACAACCTTATTTGTTGCAAGACAGACTTGACTCGTGGGTGGTAAAAACGTGCAAAGTTACTCTTCAACTCGTTTTTCAGCAATGTTGCAAAACAAGTTGCACGTTTCAGTTTCCTGTTTTACCGTACCGTAAGGGAGCGTTAAAATGCAATTGAAATGATGACTTAGTGTTCACTTACGGGATGTGTGCTTCAGTGGAGTAGATATAGAGCATATTACATGGGCGCAGAAATATGAAATTTCTCTTCGAGTGTTGAAAAATATTTCACGAGTGAGCGCAGCGACCGAGTGAAATATTTTTTTCAACTCGAGAAAAGATATTTCGTATCTCCAAGCGGCCAAGTAATGTTCCATCTATTATATAAACACCAATGAAATACTAATAATAAATAATAGTTTTTGGTTTGAAAGGCGATTTATTAGGTAGCCTTAGCAACGGTGATATTTTCGCATGTGAAGATAACATGTTATTTTCACATGTTAAGACATCACGTTTTCGCGCGAAAGCTCACCTGGTATTTCATCGGTGTTTATATAATAAAGACTTATACTATACACTCTTTGTTTTTTATCAAGAAATTGCATTTTTACGCCTAGTCTGATTCATAATGATGACTACAAAGTAATGATGTTACTACAGAGGATGATTACAAAATAGGAGGAAAAAGGAGATGCTGAAGGACCTGGAACTTATTTCACAAGTGCCTCCAATGCCTTACAGCAAGGAGCCCAAAAGTGTGACCGCTTTTGATTTATTCACATTCTTCCATGCAGACATTAACCAATCAGAACTCGACGAAAGTTTCCAGCTGGCTTCTGATTGGATTGAATCTTTACGGAAGAGTGGGAATAAATCAAAAGCGGTCACACTTTTGGGCTCCTTGCTGTAAGGCACTTGAGGAATTGGTGAAATATGTTCCAGGTCCTTCAGCATGTCGTTTTTCCTCCTAATCATGCCCTGTAGTAGCCCTTGGATTAGGATGCTGTAAATTCAGAGTTGACTGTGGCTCTGAGGCATACGTTTCAGCATCTTGGAGTGACACCCAGTCTGGACTGTCTTCTCTTCAAACTTCCCTCTCTAACTGTCTTGACACACCATTAGATCAATAAGGATATTGACCTGGCTTTGGAATTAATGATGTTTTGCCGCCTGTAAACCACTTAGGAATGTGTTGGGGTTTGTTTGCGATTGCTTGCATACTCTTGGACACGTTCTCGTGTAAGGTATCTGCCCTTTTCCACCAAAAATTAGCAATTTTGTCAGGCCCAGGATCACTCCAATTCTTATAACTTTCCTAGTCGACGTAGATTCAAGTGTAAATTCATCTTTTCGTGGTACTGGAACACTCTCCTTGATTGCATCTCTCACTTCTCCCAGCCACGGTGCAGAAGGGTCTCCACTTCTTTCCTGTTCCCATGCCAGAACAGCTTTCAGAACTTACTCGCTTCCTTAACCGTCTAAGACATTGTTTGTTCGCTTTCACCTTTTTGAAGCATTTCCTGGCCGTACCTCCGGGATCCAGCTGGAAGTTCCTGTTTAGCTTTCTTGATTCCTCATTTTTCCTCCAACGTTTTGGTTCCTGTTTCCGTTTTCTCAATTTTGACTTTTGACTCTCATTTACAAGCTCCGCGGCGGATAGCCGTTTGCAAACTGCTAATAGCTTTGCTCGATTTTTCTTTCCTTTCTTTGTCAATTTATTGTGTCTTTAACCTTTTCATCTCAGCCTTGGCGATTGATATGTTCTTCCTAATTTTCGCCGGCCTATACCTCATACTTTCTGCATGTCATTTTCAATTTTTGCCCTTACATTGCGAGCGTTCCCTTTTTTCTTCCAACCATAAGAAACCAAACGGATTTTCGCTTGGGTTGTTGGGATTATTGTGAGAAACCATCACTTCGCTAACCACTTTGTTGACGCTTTCGATGTCGCTCTTTGGAGGTCTTTTCTTTGTTCTGGTGTGCATATTTCGATTTCTAAAGTCCCCTGGGGTAGCCATCACTTTATGGAATACTATTAGCGATTCTTAATTGTACAATTTTTCTTTTTTCGGTGTTAATTGCGGTACAAGGAGGTTCCTCTAGGATCTGCGATTTGGGTGACTCAATCTGCAAATAAAGTTCTTGAAACTCACCATTTCTCCCAAAATTATCTGTTCCATTGCTCTCTTGATTTTGCACAAATTTTCGATTTTTTTTTTTTTATGAATCGTTCTCAATTTTTTTTTCAATCTTTCTGCTTGATCCCTGAGATTTTAACTTGTCACATTCAATCCAGCGTGATCAGTTTCGTCCCAAAACTCTTTCATTATTTGCATAGAACCCTTTTTTTTTTCATTCAAGTTGCGCGTTGGATTGTCTGGAGCAACCAGTCCTTTTACTTTCCTTTTGCAGTCCAATAAGTCTTTTTCATCTTCTGCTCTCTCCACTTTAACCGAGTTTCCTTTTCGTTCGGCCTTTGTTCATGATCCTCGTCTGAAACCCTGTCTCTCATCATTTTATCCACTCTAACAAAACAAAATGCGAAACTACTGAGTAAAATCACGTTCTAAGACACCAATAGCGCTAAAGCTGCAGTGCTCTAAACTTGCCTAGTTGACTGCTTTGAAGAAAAATAAAGGTCATTGCCAAATTTTCTGTAGAATAATCGAAGTACATCCCTTAGTTTCTAGCCTGTACTTCAAAACCATGTGGTTGGACGGTGCCACAAAAGCGGCAGCAGTATGTCTCTACATCTTCATTTATTGACACCACAGTAAAAAAACAAAGCCAGAATCCAAGGCAGTTGCATGCAATTTGTTCTATGCCAGAGCAGAACATCTGAAAGAACTTAAGCTTGAAACACATTTCAAGAATGATACTTCCATGAATTATAACTTTCACTGTTGTAACTTTAACCATACATATATTTTTCTTAATATAATTACATTAAAAAAAACATCGATATTGTTAGCAAAAATGACATATTTGGTAACGACTAAAGAAAAATACAAGTGGTACGATTGTAAAACGTCTGAGTCTGACTCCCCCACTAAAGTATGGTGCCCAGGTCACTAGTGATTCGTGCAGATATGATTGGGTAGTGAAATAAAGTCAATAGAGCTGCAACTGTCCACAATTGATTAATAGATCAACTAGTGCAGAGACAGTGGAAGTGTTCTGTTTAAAAGACAAAACTTTTTTTTACCTTATTTATAAAACGTTCCACGTGTATTCTGTTGGCTTTTTTCTATTTTTATTAGCTTCAAATTGACCCCTGGATCCAAGAAAAATTGGCAAGTTAATTTTTCAGGAAGATCTCTTATGTCAAATCCTTTATCTGCCATTATTTCATCACCATCATCAAACATGTTTGGGTTGAGAAGACTACTTCTTTCCACTATCTCTCGGTCAGATAAACTCCTATAATAAAGGTGGCAAACAAAAGGAACAGTTCTATTGAGGAGTAATTCCTACAAGGGTCTTATAGGTCTCCGTACCCTTATAGTCTTAATACACATATTCCCTTTTAGTTCTAGCGATGAGGGAGCTTCACAGTAGAACCCAGTGCAGTGTATGATAACATGTATCTAAGGGTAACTGTCTTTAAAGGTTTGGGGCATAGTTTGACCGACTTGTTCCCTTGCTGGCCATATTGGAATTGCTGACAGACAAAGGTAAACGAAGTGACCCAACTGACAAATATTCGGCTGCCTGTACTTTAGTCAATTCCAAACGGCCACTCTAGACGTCAAGTGGAAAAGCCTCTCCACAGCCTCATCGTTGTTAACTGAGCCGTCGTCTACGTCCACGACCTGTGTAAGCATTGGGAACTGACACAAGCTTGACATTCTCACCATTCATACCAGGTTCTAACAAATCAAAGACTGCAATAAACACTGCACATTTGGGGAAACGAGTATAATGCTTACATTTTCATCATCGGTCATATTAATCACAGGAAAAATTGGACTTTTGTCCTTGTTACTAGTAAGAAGTTTAACGTTTTGAACTAGCTGGTTTTTGAGTTTACATAGAGCTTTACACGCCGAGATACGGAGTGAATCGACGTTCGCATTTCCAAACTGTGCTACCTCTGACTTCGTCGACATACAACTGTTTGACTGAGTGATCTTGGTTCAAGTTTTTTGGCGGTGACTTGTTTAGTGACGTTTCTCGTTGTCCTGGAACTTTTATTTTTTTGTCGTCTTCCTTGGGTCGTCCATTCCATTTTGGTGGGACTGCTCCTTTCCTTAAAGTTCACCGGCTCCCCCCTGCAACACGCAAGATTTTATCTGTTCGGAAGTGGACGTTACAAACCACAGTTGCCTTGGTTAAACGGAAACAGTCTTTCTCCTACTTTTTCGCCACACCGTTTTCCCGAATTCGACGAAGCTTTTCAGCCTTTGGAGATGTAAAAAATCTAAAGTGTGATTTTTTTCCCTGTCGCATCGTAGATTTTATTTGAGCAACCGAAAAACGAGCACTCTTTTCCTTGCTTTTGTTTCTTCTTGCATGCCTTCCGCCATCTTGAAACACTATAAATCTTAAGCTTCGTTTTCATTCAAACCGGAAATCGGAATTATGCAAAGCATCTATTCTCTCTCTATCTCTCTATTTCTTGTGGAGTACGTCAGGGATCCGTTCTTGGACCCCTGCCGTTTTTGCCTATATTAATGACTTACCTAACACTTCAAATTTCTTATTTTCCACTTATTTGATGCTGACTGTTCGAGTAAAAACCTTAATGATCTTGAAATTATCCTAAGTCAAGAGCTCCATGCAGTGGCTGAGTCAGGGATGAAATCTAATAGACTAGCCCTCAGTATTTCGAAAGAAGGGGAGGCGATTAATCAAGGGACGGCTATTATTCGAGGAAATACGGTAATTGACTTGGAGGAATCATGTTAATGACCTTTGCTTAAAACTATCGAAAACTGTAAGTGTATTTTCAAAATTAAGGTACTATACTGATGTTGATATTTTACCATTCCCCAATTTACCCCTTTAAATTATGGTATTCAAGTTTGGCGTCTCACATACCTAATCTACCTAAAACCAGCAAGGGCGCACAGCGACAATTTTCGGAAAATATCTGTTCGGAAGACGATTAACAATACGTTTAACAATGCTAGTGTTTAAGTGGTTTTGAACTATCTCCTCGTTGGGTTCCCCTGAACCAGTAAAGTACAGTCGACTCCCGATAACTCGAACCTTGAAGGGAAATCGCAAAAGGTTCGACTTATGGGGAGTTCGGGTTATCGGGAGCTCGAAGAAAATAGCTGGGAGTAAGAAAAAAAACAGTTTTTACTGCACAGTGAGTATTCTAATCACATTTAATAGTAAAAATGTTGAGTGAAAATTGAAAGATACTGTTAGATCATAAATCAGAACGTAAAGTAACAAAACGTTGCCTAAATAGAGCACGCATTTTACTTTTTGAGAAGTAAAGCTATTTCACGTTAGATTTGTGGCAAACAACATCAGCCTCCACTATCGATCAACTAGTAAACTATATGCGTACAACACGTCGATGGGAAATTCAAACATTCAATGTTTCGGAGGCTTTACACTCTTTTTTCCCGACTTTTTAAGCGCTCAAAACATGGTTCGAGTTATCGAGGATAATATTATATAGAAATGATCTGAAGGGAAACAAAAATTACTTCGAATTAGCGGGAGTTTCGAGTTATCGAGGGCTCGAGTTACCAAGGGTAAAATTACAGTAAATGTATGACGGAAATCCAGGGGAAATCGATTTTGGTTCGAATCACCGTCATCATTGCCATCGTCCGGTACTTCGTCGAAAGAATGCGAGGCAATCAAGGCCACCAGGCCAGTGAAACCGGCGTTCATTGAATCCCTGAACTCTTGAGGGCTTCAGCAAGAGCGGAGCCAAGGGCTGCCGCGTGTAAAGCCTTCGCTGGTGTTGTCCTTCGGTGCAGGGGGCTTTTTCCCGCCTTTTTGTGAAGCTGAAGTTCCAGCCGATTTTCGCACCTCATTCGTGCCCTGTTCCTCCTTAGAGGGTTTTTCCTTACCCCTAACCGCTGAAGTAGGGGTTAAAGATGGACTGCATTCCTGCATGGTGAAAAAATTTGCAGAGTTTCTGTCCTTAGAGCAAAAACGTGCTTCGACCAAGATGGTGTAAGCTTTGCACTGAGTTGCGCATGCGCTGCGATCTCATGAGATCTCACAGCACGATAACGAGGTAGGATTTAGCCGATCCTCCTTTTGAATGTTACTTCACTAAAGTGATCCCCCTAATAACCTTTGATGAATTTTGCCCGCCCCCATGTTCTCAGCTGTCGAGCTCCTGAACTACAAACATGTGCGCAAGAACTAAACTCCACACTAAACACTGTGAGCTCCTTGTCTAACGACTCCCATCTCGCACTTAACTCAAAGAAGACAAAGACGATGTTGCTATCCACAAGCCAGATGTCACATATACATAGTTTAGATAAAAACCGACCAGCTATTACAATCTCAGATAGTACATTAGAATATGTAAATGTAAGTAAGCTTCTTAGTGTCCATTTCCACCAGCATCTTAATTGGGATGAGCACGTGAAAGCAACGTGAAAGAGCTGTTATGGAACAAGACAAATAATAAGAAAACTTAAGAACTTTGCTGGTTATAGACTCAGAAAGCACTTAGTGGAGTCACTGGTGCTATCAAAACTTGACTATTGTGACACTGTCTATTACCCTTTGCCGGAATTTCAACTAAAACTTTTACAACGTGTCCAGCTAATAGCTGCGAGTTTTGTCCTGAATAGGTATGTAAATGACATTAACGATATTGTTAAGACAGGGTGGTTACCAGTAAGACAGCGAAGAGATTTCCACGTTCTCAAACTCGTTCACCAGGCTTTGTACTCCCCCAGCTGGCCGTCTTACATACCACCATTGCGGTCAGGAGCAGCAACAAGATTAACTATACCAATGGAGAGGGGCACTTTTCAAGACTCTGCTGCCAAGTTATTTAATGTCTCTCCGGCAAATATTAGAAACCGTAGCGACTTCAAAGTATATTGTAGGGAAGTTAATGCCTATCTACTAAATAACATTTGTAAATAGTTTGTAAATTGTATATAGGGTTGTATTAATTTTTATAACATTTTTATTTTTTTATACAATATCCTTTTATAGTCCGATATTTTTGCTTGTTTTTTATATTGCAGATTTCAATTTAATTTTATTTTTGTAGTATATTATAGTTTTTCTTTTTTATATATATTGTAGTTTTTAACAGGTGAAGAGCCACATTATTATTATTATTACTATTATTATTATTATTATTATTATTATTATTATTATTATTATTATTGTTATTATTACTTTGTTCTCCTAAAAGTCAGGTGACCCCCCCTAAAATCCCCCGCCCGCCACCCCCAGGCGATAAACAATGACTGGTCCCTATAAAAGGCGGCCACAAACATCGTACACGAGGCCACAGTTAAAGTCCCCGAAAACAGGCGCAATGTTCGAGGTAACTTCTCCACTTGATCAACACAATCTGGTCTGATTACCATGGGATTCCACTGATCCCCCGTTTTGTTCTGCTAAAAATCAAGTGATCCCTCCTAACCCCCCCAGGCGAGAAATAATAACGGGTCCCTAAAAGGCGGTCACAAACATCGCACGCGAGGCCACAGTGAGTGTCTCTGAAAGTAGGCGCAATGTTCGAAGTAACTTCTTCGATTGATCAACACAAACTTGGCCTGATTAACATGGTATTCACGCGTAACTCAAATAGGTAGAATTGTGTGTTTCATGGGTTTTTCGATCGGATTCTCATAGCTTTTATCGTGACAATTTGGTTATTTTACTAAACCAGAACGTGATGTTTGGGCACCCAAAACTGAATTATTAAAACGTTCCCGGTGTAAAATGTCATGAGTATTGTCTATTGTGTCTGTTTTGACAAACGCAGCAAAGTAGGTAATCTTCTTGTCAGCAGCAGGTGAATTTTCTCTGGAGACTTTTGAGATGACAGTTGTACCAATTTGTTTCGCTGACAGTGTCAAAAAGATATTTGTTTTAGTATATGCTCTTGGGCCACAGAGATCCCAGCCCATATATTTCTATTAATTAGTTTTCCGTTTCTTCGGAGACGTTCTAAACAAAATAGCAGGTGTCAACACAGCCAAACCGTTGAAACACAATTTCACCAAAGAACTGTATGAATATTTCGCAGACATTACACCAAAAAAGAGTAACTCTAACTCTGAAGAAGTCCTCAAAACAAGCAAAAAGCGATATTTTTTTCTCTCTAAGAAGCGCTACAGCCAAGAAAAGCAACCCTGTATTAATTAAGTTTTAATCAACAAAGTTGATATACAATCCTTGTGTTACACGCGCCAACTTTCCTATATATGCGAACTATCACAAATTGTCATAAATGGGAAGTTCTTTGCTGATGAACTTGTTTGTTTCTCATCGCCCGACAAACCCCCAAATATTTAATTTTATTTAAGGCCACGAGCAAAACATCTTTTTTAAAACTAAAAAAAGTAGTGGAAGTCTTATTATTTATTATTCATTTGATATTATTTGCATAAAACGGAAAATCATTTTTTGAGTTTGATAACAAATACAAGCTAATTCACACTGATAAAAAAGTATATATATATTGTCGAAAGCTGCCGCAACACTAAATTTTCACGATTCTACTGAAGAATATACGAAAATCCTTGATACTCATTACACAACAAGAAATCAATGAGTTGTATACTTGGACTGGAAAATAAACAAGAAAGAACTTCACCATCTCGATAATTAAGACAGCTCACTTTGTCTGTCCGGGTATATAACTACTGGCTAAAGACCAAGATGATATTTTCTCCTTTAATAGCAAACTCCAGTCCTGATCGATGGCCAGGTTAATTACGTACACTGTATAGCAGGTCGTTGCTGCAAAATTCTTCAGACCGCTCGGACCAAAAGGCATTACTCGCTAACTGCGAATTCTTTTGTTGGTCTAGTACACAGAGGGATTGCAAACTAGAGAAGAGCGTCTGTAGATAACTTAATACTAAACAAACATTTTGAAATTAGGGGAAAAACTTTTAATTGTCTTTATTTTTTAGTACACTACATCAGGAAAGTTTTGCCCAAATCCAGGCACTGGAAATTAACAGACTCGACGAGCAATAGACAGCGCCACTCGTTTTCCAAGCCGAAACCTCTAACTGAAAATGTTTGCTTACTTAAAAAAATCTTCTCTTAGAAAACCAAGATGACGACATAGTATCATGTAGAATTTTGTTCTATTTAGGATTTAGGTACGTATACGTACGTTTACTCAAGTCGCCTCGGAAAGAACAAATAATAGGAGTCTAAATTTATGCCACCAAGAGGCATGGCAGGGCATACCGGCTTTAGAGAACAAATTAAACAAAGAATCATGGACAAATGTCATGTACTAAAAGCACATCGAAGAAAATAACGGCTCGCTTAGCCTGTTTTAAAGAAATATACATTTTTAGTATTATTTTTTTTTGTCTTATTTTAGATATTAATAACATACCTTTCTTTGAGAAATAAATACAAAAAAAAAAAAAGAAAAAAGATAATTATAAAAACCAAAAAAAAAAAAATGTCGGGCTGCTTAGCCTGTTTTTTTTTTTTTTTAAAGAAGCTTAGGATTTACCTCTGAAAGTTAACAAGAAAAGTTGACAACTAAAAGTATTACTTTTTTATTTTTTTCAAGCGTTATCTTTTGTTTTTTTAAGCTTTATTTTTCGGAGCTTAATTTTTTTGTATAGCGGACCCCCAGAACGAGAAGGAAGGCATTTGAATACACAGTTGATAGGAAGTTAATAAATGAATTTTTTAGAGCTGATGAAAAGCCAATAAGATCTCACGAGATAGTAAACTCTAAGAGTTCCTACTACTTATGAATAATTTACTACATTCTAAAGAAAATTTGTTTAACTGTTATCACATTGAAAAACTTAAATGAGTCGTTTGCGGTTTGCATGGTCAGTCCATAGCAACATGGGGGTCGTACCTCGGAACAAGTAAAACTGAAAAAAAAATAAACCATGACGGCCTCTGCTACCAGGACGATCATTTTTCTCATGTGGATTACATTCGGAATTTGTACATTGGTTTACGCTGGTAAGTGACATTTTTTGTGGTTCATTTGAAGATTGAACTAATTTTAGCTAGAAAAATCGAGATAGGAATAATAGAATTCTTGTAAATTTACACTATAAATTGACTTAATAAGCTATTTATATATCGTAGATAGATTGAAACACGTAGGTGCCTTTTTCACAAGCTTATTTTTAAGTATAGGCATATCATGTCATAGAAATGAAAAACTAAAACATCTTAAGCACCTCCGCCAATATTCTGATCTTACAATTAAAAACGTCGCTTAGGTTATCATGAAATAAAACGAATTTCGTAAACAAAATGCATCTTTGTAGATGTGCTATTCAAGTCCTCGGGGATACGTTTTCTAGTACAGTATCTATTACACCTATGGCTGCGTTCCCAAAACTGATTCCCTTAATTGTTGATAGCGAATATAATTGCTCTATCCGAAGAAGGTGCAAGTTTTCGAGTTCGATTAAATACAGGTTTTACTGTACTTTTCATGTTAACTGGCGAGTTTAGGGAGTCCTGAAGCTCACATATGGTCTTTAAAATTTCTATCTGTGGGAGGCAAGACGAGATATGACTGATGTCGGACCATTCAAACGCAAGTTGGAGTACCACTAACACCTAATTGACAAAGATAGTTCAAGTTCGCTAACCTCAGACTTATTCGCTATTTGCACTTCATAATCTATCTTGTTTGCACCCTCTCCCCCAAATTTTGCATAACTGTCTCAATTTCTCCTGGGACAACTGAAAAAACTCTGTAGAAATAAAAAACAAAGGTTATGAAAAACTTTGTGGGAGGGGGGGGGGGACAAACAAGGTGTATTTTGGAAGAAACGCAAAAGGCGAACAGGAAACTTTTTAAAATGGGTTACCTATTCATCCGGTAAGTACGACGTTTTCAGCTTTTTTAATCTCTTCCCCCCCCCCATCCCCCTGAGGGCGACAGCACAAAATTTACTTAATATTAAAGCCTTAGTCCCCCTGTTTTTATTTCAGTGTATGCGACAGGATACAATCGCATCTTGATGTTTAAGGAACTAGTAGACGGGAAAATACTTCCGGGTCACGTGATGAAAACTGAGAAAGTAGCCAATGAAGGAAGTTGCCGTGTCAAGTGCTTCATGGAACCAAACTGCGTGTCCATCAATGTGGGTCCTGTTGACGAACACGGAGGGCGCATGTGCGAGTTAAAAAACTTTACGGATGAAAGTTCATCGCAATCTGGTTTGGAGGAAAGGAAAGGGCACATTCACTACGCAGTTGAGGTATCAGAACCTTTTTCTTTTGCAATAAATTTGTTTACTAAAATCAAGGGGTAAAGAATTTTCGAAATAGAGACATATAGACATTTATTATTATTATTATTATTATTATTATTATTATTATTATTATTATTATTATTATTGCCAATGAGCAGCCTCGCGGCACCGTAATAGAGCAGTGAGCGATTGTTCCAGGGGCAGAAAACATCTCGAATCGATGTAACATAAACTAATGTAAGGCAAGTCTTATGACGTAATTCAGAACCGAGAATGCATTGTTTTCGAGCAAACACATGATACAGAACAGAGAATCCAGAAGCCGTGTACATGCTTGTGAGTCCCAATTGTGAATCCCGTGTTTATCGCGCCTTATTTGCATTTGCATCTGGAATT